CAGCGGCCCCGCCCAATCGCCGCGCGGCTTGCCGAACAACAAGGCAAACGAGCTTCCTCATTGGGGCAGCCGTGCGGGGCAGGCCGCTGGGCCGCTCCGCCAATGCGGCAGAGGAGGGGGAGGGTAACCCCGCCCCTGCGAGCGTGCCCTTGGGCGAGATCCGAGTGGGAGCGAGGGGATTGGCTGGCGAGGACATCCATCAGGGTAGGCCGGCGCAAGGGAGCAGGCTCAGTTGCGGAGAAGTGAGTACGTGAGGAACTGCACAGCGGCGGGGGGAGGGGCGCCCCCTGCGGCCGGGCCGGGGCCTGCTGCGCTCAGCCGGGCCCCGGGCGGGGCAGGAGCGAGCCGGGCCTAGCCCCGTCCACGCGGGCTCACGACGCAGCGCGCCGGCGCCTGCGAACACGAGCGACACACGAAACACGAACACACATAACGAAACAATTCAACACAAAAACTCACTTGGAAACAAAGCGCAAAATAAAACAAGCGGAAACAAAACCAAACACAACATACAATTTGAAACACAACACAATGCACTTTGAAACAAAAAATTCAAGCAAACAAAAAATTTAAAAAAACAAAAAATAAACAAACAAAAAAAACACATCCCACAATGGAAAACAAACTTGAAAGAAAACCATTTGAAACAGAAACACAAAACACCATTTGAAACAATACGGCTGCAAGCACCGCTAGCAAATTTCTCTGTTCAATCTGAAGTACCGCCAGCAAATTTTTGTCGTATGAAGTGACCATAATGAACCTGCCTACACGGCCCACGGGCAGGTTGAAGGTGTGAGCTGGTTTACGTTCAACTACGGGTTTGCTGTGCAAGTGCAGGGGACAGTGACAGAGCGACATCTCCCTCCGCTCTTTGAAATGGGATGCAGAGTGCTGCACAGGAGACACTGTGCGATTACAGCTGATAATAAGTATGGTACTTTACAGACATGTCTCCATTGGCTTTGTTAAAAAAAAGGAATTGATTTTTAGGGTTGAAAGCTCCTAAAATGCATGAGGCCAGCATAAAATCGTGGAACTGGAGGTTCAGGTTTTTAATTGCTTTCTGGCTTGTGAGAGTTACTGCTTACCATTTCCAGTCTCTACAACCAATGGATTCTATATTTAAATGAAGGTATCGCCTCTAGCAACGCTGCCGGCATATTTAAACAAAGGAGCAAACCAAAGTGACTTATGACTCCAGGAGCTGGGACTTTAAGGTGATACTATGCTGGTTACATTGAAAAAGTGTATGCTTTAAAGTCTGTTAGGAGGTAAGTAATCGTCAGTTGGCTATTATAAAATCAGTGCTACCACCACACTATTGCCTGGCCCTGTTTCAAACAGACTAGGGAGGACTGTTGCCATAAAACAGACCGCTCAGCATTGTTTTGGCAGTGGCCCTTCACCTGCAGAGGCTGCTGTGATGCTTGTGTTGTAGCAGTTACAGCCACTGCTTACTGTAGTTATGACTGCATGCCTCTCATCACATACTTGGACCAAGTGCAGCACAGCAAAGATGCCTCCTCCCAAAGCTCTGGATCAGCCTCTTCCCCTTTGAGGCTGTGGGGCAAATTAAGTAAGTTTGGAAGCAGGAGGAAGTGCTTTCTCTAGTAGGCTGCGGGCAGGGAACTCTAGAACCCTGACAGGGTAGACGTGGCATGGAAGAGCTGGGACCTGCATTTTTATTTTGTATTAAAATTAAAGGTTGAGGTTTCAGTCTGTAATTTTAATTGTCAGAAGTATTGGTCAGAAGTCTAACAGGAGACACCCTTAAAATGATTTAAAAGGATCATTTGGGGAGGGGCCAAACTCACTGGATTTATTCTGCACTGTAAAAGGACATTTCCAATAAAAGACATACTTGGAAGTTTTCAAGTTGAAAATCCCTTAGGAAAAAAATGCATTTGAAAAATGCATGACAACCAAATCTATAAGCTATGGGCTGTTATAGGATGTGAATTGACTATTGATACTATGACATGCACCAGTTAATTCACCACTTGCAGTACAATTATCATTCTAATAAATAGAGCTTTATATTTCAAAATCCACAACAGGCCTAAAATTTGTAATGCATCTGAATTACTCCTGAAATTCTTTAATTAATCTATTAAATCAGTATTAAAAAATTAAAAGCTTTAAAGAGCCAAAATATCACAATGAAAGCTTATACAAAGCCACATTTTCTTATTGTAATATGGACTTTAGATATTGAACAGAAATGTAAACAATTTACTGCAACTTATGCATACACAAAAAGAAAGAAGAAAGGAGAGAGAGATTTTTTCCTTTGAGGGGGAGAAGAGGAAGAGGAGAAAATAGATTTTTTCTTGCATTTCCCCCTCCATCAAGAATACCCAATTCATTGTCAGTTTTTCAGTGAACAAGGGGAAAATTTTAGTGGGGCCTACAGCCTCAAGAATAGAAAAGTATTAGCTCACAAAGGTTAAAGTAAAGCTTTAAAAATTAATATGATGGAATTCTCCTTTAAAAAGGGCAAATCAGGCAACAGCAATGCAATGTCACTGCCCTATCTTTTCACATCCACTACCCCTATTTTACATCATTTAAGTCAGAATTCTACAAAGCTCTTTTCCTCATTAATAGCGAACATTCTTCATTCTTAATTATGAGACAGCCGCAGCACTTGCTAGCAACTATAAATAGATCTAACAGCAAGTCGTGACACAATTCTGGTGATTTTTTTTATTGAATTTTCCCAATATACAACTGTTTTAGCTTTCCACAGATTTGGATCTCAGCAGCATTGAAAGTTTATCTAAGGTTACCCCAAAAAGCAAGACCTACAAAATCTGTATGCCCATATCATTGGCTGTATCTACATAAGACGCTTTACTGCACAGTAGACTAATGTATTGCACAGTAAAGCATCACCGTCTACACATCCAGGTACTTGCGCAGTACATTTACTACCTGCATGTAGCATTAATTCCATGTGCAGACATGCCCACTTTGGGTTGTTTTTTTTTATAATATTGACAGGAGAAATGCATTTGTTCCGAATTGCAAGTCTAGTATTCATCAAAATGAATGGTGTCTGACATAATACAGAGGGTTCTGCACTTTTCAGAAGCCCTCACTATATTTTCAATGCAAGAAAGAAAGTCATTAACTTCCAACTATTTCATTCATAAAGAATTATACCTTTTACTGTGCATTTGTAGTCACTGTATAATTGCACACATGTCCAGTGAGAAGGTCAGCTTTAATTAGTATTTTGAATACCAGTCTGTATCAAAATATGATTTAGTTTTTCAGTACATATTTATACTTACAAATATTTGTTCATAAAGAAATATTTCTATTCATAGATTACATACAACAACTTTTGGCACAATCAACATCTTAATTTTATTGTCTTCTACTTCTCCTGTGATTTTTCCCATCTCTAAAATCTTACGGGGCACTGTATAATGGAGCAACAATAAATATGTCTGAAAAATCCATTTCCTTATTCCCTTTAAACAGAAATGTTTAAAGTTTTGTTTTTAAATTCAAGCTGGTTTTTTACATTTATTCTTGAATTTCATCTATAAAATACAGGGGTGGCATTTCAAAGGCTGCTTAGAAAAATGTCAGTTTAGATTGAAATTAATCCATCTTATGCAGGGTTTCAACCCCATGATTTAGAAGAAATGTGAAGAGAAAAGCAAACACTTTAATCTGAACAGATATTTATTTTGAGAACTTTGACTTGCACATTGTACAAAAAATTGACAAATTCAGCAAAAAAGCCTATAAAAGTTTTTTCTGCCCCTAAAATATTAACATTATAATTTTTAAAAAGGGTGAGAGTTAAAAAAAAATACAAGTACATTTGTTCCCGTCTGTCTGCAGTAAAAGTGTGATTAAAACATCCCTGTCATCTTGAGGTATTAAACTGCAAACTTTGGTACTGTTGGGGAAGAGGAGGAGCTGGAAATTAAGCCTTTCTGGTCTCATACAATAAAAAAAGGGGGGGGGGAAGCGGAAAGAGGGAATAACACACAAAACAGTTCATAAAAGTTCAATGTTGTTCTCCGTTTCCAGACAAGAATGCAATGAAACAAAAGTAAATTCACGTTACCATAACACACCTAGCATTAGGAAAAAACCTGAAAGTTTGCAGTTCCATGCTAAAGAGATACAGCTACAGTGTTATATTTCAACCCCAAAATAAAATGCAGATGGCAGTTTAAACATTTCAGTGCTTAAAAAAAAGAAAGGAAAAAGAGAAAGAAAAATGGCGATTCAGAGAGCCCAGTCTTTCAAAAAAAGGACCGAAGGCACTTAAGAATGGCTTTACTATATTCCACGATGGCATTCTGGATAGAAGACAGCACCTGGCTGAACAAATAGTTCTCTAATAGAGACAAGTCCAACTGAGGTAGTACTTCGTATTGCCCCAACTACGTGGCTAAATGCAAAAAAAGGCTTTTTGTACACAAAATTGATTGGGAATGGCTTTTAATAACTTGATAAGAGTATAAGAAAACTAGGTTAAAAAAAATCCAAGACGTTCACAACCTGGGTAACGGGTCATAAGCCAGGAACCATCTCAGAAAAATTGAGCATCAAAATACTGCCAAGAAAAGGTAGGCATTTATGGCCAAATCCACAGACTTCAAAAGATTGTTCTAGCAACCAAGCCATTTTCAGAATTAAAAAAAAAAGGGGGAGGGGGGGGGGGGGAGAAAAGGAACTTTGAGAACTTTTATGCTCATTAGCAGCCTTACCGGAAGCATGTTGTAATATTCAAGGGAAAAAAAGAGTTCTGTTGATGAACAGCAGGTTTCAGAAAAAACCTGAACTCAAAGTCTAACATTAAAAGAAAAAAAAAAAACTGAAGAAAAATAAAACCCACAAACAGACAAAAGCAGATCCCTCAAAGTCTGTCGATTTTATAACAAGGAAGACTTTACTTTTAGGGAAAGGGTATGGGGGACTACATATTTAAATTAAGCCCATTGAAAACCCGTTAACAAGTCTGAACAAAGAAAAATAGAAGTGCTTTACAGAATCACCGTCCATTGCCGTAGCCAGGAAAGAGCTGAGTTAGGAGGGTCTGCAGTGTTTCATTCACTTGCATAGTATAGTTTTTGCCAAGATCATAGCGACAAGCTGGACAACTATACACATCTGCTTTGAAAGATCGGTCCAAACAATCCTGGGAGAGGAGGCAGGGGAAAAAAAAAAAAAAAGAAAAAAGATGTAACTGAAGAATTTAGGTTACTTCCCAGACTATAAGCAGAGGTGCTCCCCAGCCATGCGCTTGTTGACAGCTAGGGAGAAGGCAACTGAAGCAGTGAAACAATGGAAGCTTTTGCACCTGGCAATAAGTTTCATGTCTTCTTCTACAAAGACATTTAGTCAGACACGTTTCAATATAATGCTATGTATTACTTAAATCCAGTAAGAATTCCTCCATGGCTGCTAACAGCAACCCCCAATTTCTGAAGGAAAGAAGAAATCATAGCTTTACTCATAATTGCCATACAGACCACTTTACTATCTACAGTGTTATAAAGCTTATTCAACTAGGGTGATGATTCTGAATCTTTTGCTCTCTCTTTAGCAGATGGTGGCAAGAGAGTACAATGGCACTCCTTAATTACTTGACCAGAAGAAAGCAAGGCAGTGGCAAGTCAAGGTAAACAGCTAAACAAGTGGCAGCTCATGGTGCAACGTTGAAGCCTACTGGGAGAACAACTACAACTTAAGAACGGGCATCCCAACTACTCACCTTGCAGACATTGTGCTGGCACACTGTTGTGACTGGTCGAAATACTACCTCCTGGCAGCAAATACATAGAAAAGCTTCCTCCACTTTATTCAGGAATTTCTGAAATGGAAGAAAAAATTGTCATTACATTGCTACTGCTTTCCAAATATGCAGCATGATTCAAGTGACTGAAGCTATCCATAAGACTTCCTAGTTTACAGAATTCAGGAAAAAACCCAACAACCACCTCGCAACATGACATTGTGATCACCATTACTAATAAAAATCATGCTGCAGACATTGGGGCAGGAAGACACCACTGGACTTAGATGGACTGAATTTGTTTCTGGAAGCTGTTCTTCATCTGAAGAACTTAAAAGAGCAGAGGAAGCCAACAATTTAATGCATTGCACAGCAATTGCGGCTACAGCATTCGGAACGGACAGCCACTTTTTCAGCCTTCCTGACCCAAAAGGAATGCTACGTTCCTATAGGCCAGGGCTGTCAAATGGGTTTGGCCCCTGAGGCTGGATACACACTGCAGGGCTTCTCAAGAACCAGAGCTGGCAGCAGACCAAGCAGCATCAGTGTCAGGGAACCATTGGTGTTAGTGTAGCTGTTGTGCACTCCCCCAGCACTGCCATACATCCAACAGGCTCCATAGCCTGGATTTCAGCCCTGTCTGTGAACTTCCAGCACTTCTGGAGCTCCTATGGAGGCAGATGTCACAGCACTGCAAGCTGTATCAGACACTCCTGCTTATAGGCTACCCCCGCTTTTAAAGCAGTCAGGCCAAGCAGCCTACATCTGGAGACAGCCAGGTAGCTACTTCTATTACAGTTCCCAGGTAAGAAGCATCTGACATACCGGTCCATCTTTGAGAGCTTCTAGTACTTCATTCCACAGTTTTTCATTGGCTTCATCATTTTTAATGAGAGCCTTTTGCTGAGACGTCAGCTTGTATGGTTCAACTTTAGTCTTCTTTGGGGTCCCTTTCGGAGAAGCAATGGGTTCTGCTTCACCCCCTGAAAGAACACGTGAACCTTTTTAGAGAGAAAAAAAATGCTGAACTGCCTATACCACTGAAAAAAACTGTATAAAATTTGCCACATCCACTTGCCTCCTACACCAACCTGTTGATTTCCTTTTCCTCTTTCCCTTTCCTGTTGGGGTCTCAAACTCATCGCCGCTTTTATTTTCTTTCTCCTTTTCTTTGTTCGCAACAGCTTCCAAATACCCTTCAGGATACTAAAGGAAAAAAATGCATTAACACATAACCAGGTGCCAACATACAATTCACTAAATAGGACGTCATGCGTTCCGTTAAAAAAAAAAGTTAAATTATGTACACTTAGAATGCCATTCACATTTTGAACTTCTGTCCCTACCCCCAATTTGACACACAATCTGATAAAAAAAATTTTTGCTTGCATATTGGGACAAGTAGGAAATGTCTTCTATTAAACTACATTTAGCTTTCAGCTATGTTAACAGGCTGGTAACAAGCAGCCATCAGTACTGAAGGTATAGTTATATACGAGTAATCCCTCACTTACGGGATTACATCATGTTAATTCATACGTCTCTTCTTCAGACAAAGCAGAATATCCAGAGATGTTTACCAAGATCTCCCTCTGTACCTCCCTTAGACCTATAATCCTCCTAGCTCAATGCCCAGTAACATTTTTTCAATAGGACAGTGTACCTGCATTGTTAGACCAAGCTTTTTCATCCTGTCCTTCCCTTCCTTAGTCCAAGGGGCAGGCTCCTCATCATCTCTCCTGAGTAGATAACGCCACACTAAAAAACCAGATTTTCCTGTCTCAGGCCAATATTTCACAACCTAAAAGGAAAAAAAAAAACAAACAGCCAGATATAAGGCCTTCAGAAGATACAGAAATTTCTTCTACAGTCAGCTACAAAACAAAACCACTCTTTTCCAATTCAGTCCAAGTTAGGAATGTCTGCTTACCTTGTATATTCCATCATATCGGTTTCCCTCTACTGGGGCATATTTACTGTGTTTGCCTCCCTTTACACTTCTCACCACCCTGACTGGCTTCCCAGCTCGCCAATCCTTGGCCTCTGCTCCATCTTTATCATTGATAGGGGCACTGCAATTCAGAGCTAGAGCTCTGTAAGAATAAATTAAATTAATGTTATAACCCACAGGGGGATATTCAGAATTAAATATAAATTAAAGCATGATAAACATACAAAAAGATATGAATGTGAAGCATGGTAACAATACATCAAATGTTTGATGCAGTGATGGTAGCACTAGCAAACCCACTGGGGATCTGTGAAGAGGAGAGATATGGCACCATGGGTCCAGCCAGTACTACTGTGGACCCAATGACTGCTTCCAGGGCAGCTTGACATCACCTGCTTAGCCTTTATGCTGGAGTTTGAATGCCTTAAGTTTTACCCTTTATCAGAAAGATCAGTTAAGAAGGTTTCTTTCAAAATCCCAGGAAGAAACAGGTGTGCAAGATGTTATATTATTAAAAATTTGCTTAACTCTTGATCAGAGACAAAAGTGAGAAACAATGGCTTTCAGGAAAGTTACCCACGTGTAGAAAACATGATCATGTAGACCCTTAAAAAGTTTACTTTAGCATGGACTATATTTTAACGTGGAGATCACCAAAAGGATTATCTGGATGGCCTGCAAGACTAAGTAAAAATGGTAATCTCCTCCAATTTCCAACTATGTAACATCCTTCTGGCAACAGGGATACTAAACTTTCTGGAGGAGAAATTAGAAAAGGATTTCATGAGATTAAAAATGAGGTGGAGGAGAAGATACTCCCAGATGACCAGCCACCCCTACAATTTAGTAGCAAATGCTGCATAGATGACAAATGGGCCACAGGCCAGAATATGAAAGCCTCTGCTCAAAATTCATCCCTTTGTTCATGCAAGTTGCAAAATAAAGTCTAAGCCCATTTACAACTGCTCCATTTACAGTACCATATTTATGTGCCTGCTACATACACTTTTTTCTAAAAATAAGCCTTCCAAAATTGGGGTGCATGTCTGGTCTTTTCTACCCAGAATAGAAGCATGGAAACACTATACAATGGCTGCTGCTGCTTTTTCTTCTCTTCCCTCCAAGCAGCTGCATGGAAGGAAGGGCAGAGTCCAGGAGGGGCAGATCCAGGGAGGCTGCAATGGTGCCTCACTTTGATTCCTGCTCTACCCAAAGCTTAAAACCAACTGCCCCACAGCAGCAGTGGCATTTTATTCAGACAGTGCTGAGAGAGAGTCAACTGACTTAATGGCTCAACAGAATCTACCCAATTCCTGCTAATCCTCTTTGCCCCACAGGGGTTAACAACCCTCTACCCTTTTTAATTATCTTATGTTCCACTAACCAAGCTCTCCTTTATTCAGCAATTTTGGTGTCAAAATACAGCCCTGCCGAGTGTTGTTGCGCTTTTCAAAACGCTTGATCTGTCTAGGAAGTTCCAATCTCCAGGAGCAGCTAGTTTTAGCCTGTGAAAGGGTTAAAATCATAGTTTTTGCTTGAACAGGAAAGGGAGGGTGAACAAGATGAAAATGTGGCCCTCTCCCTGCTATACATAGCCATAATTGTAGAAAATTCTTTTCTTTATTCTGCCTTCCAAAAACAAGGAGTGTGTCTTTTTTGGCAGCATGTGGTATGCGAGAAAATACAGTATGTTATTGGGAATTTTCCCACTGCATATTGATCTATAATCAACCATAGAAAGCAAAGCTCCTTTGAAAGTTTTTCCCACTTGTTAGTTTTCTGCGACAGCATTAACAGAAGAGAGTTTTTCAGCCTGCCAGACACTATGTAGAAAGCTTCATGAGAGTTGGTTTGAATGCTTCCAACCTGTTCATGTTGGTAAGTTTTTGATCACAAGACTGCCCTGCTGTACGCTTGTTCCCAGAAAGATCACGACCTCCGCTCCCTGTGTAAGTGAAGGAATTGCCATGGTCCTGAAAATGATACAATATCAAATAGTTTAGTCGCGCTCAAATTAAAACAGAGGGCTGTAATATGGAATTCTGAGACAAGAAGTTTGGATTTGCAGCTTTGCCAGACTCATAGTTGCCCCATGGCCCCTTCAACTATTGTAGCTAGTACAAACAGAGCTATACGGCAAGCTGGTGTACATTACCAGTTCACAGACCGCTATGCTCCAGTAAGCATCACAACACTTTTACAAAAAAAGTCCCTGACAAAAGTACATTCTGAAGAACATAGTTCCAGGTTAGACAGGGAGAGGTAGGCAAAAGAACAGCTCCAGCTGGACCCAGAGAAGTGTCCTCTGGCAATGCCATTAAAAGGGACAATGAAAAGCTGCCTTTCTTCAGCACCTATAGTTTCATAGTTTCTAGGGTCGGAAGGGACCTTAGCAGATCATCTAGTCCGACCCCCTGCCATGGCAGGAAAGAGTACTGGGGTCAAACGACCCCAGCAAGGTGTTCATCTAACCTCATCTTAAAAACCCCCAGGGTAGAAGCCTGCACTACTTCTCTTGGAAGTTGGTTCCAGGCCCTAGCCGCCCTGACCATGAAGTAGCGTCTCCTGATATCTAACCTAAACCTACCCTCTGCCAGCTTGTGACCATTATTCCTGGTCACTCCTGGCGGTGCTCGGGGGAACAGTGACTCCCCCAATGCCTGCTGATCCCCCCGACTAGTTTATAACAGGCCACAAGATCCCCCCCTCAGCGTTCTCTTTTGGAGGCTGAACAGGTTCAGGTCCCGTAGCCTCTCTTCATAGGGCCTGCCCTGCTGTCCCCTGACCATGCGAGTTATGTTGCAGTACAACTTGGTAGCACAAAAACCTAAAGCTTATGAAACTGGACAAACCAGATGTGTTTTACATTTTTAGCTGTCTATTTCACAAACAGTGGCAATACAGTACTAGAACATAAGGAAAATGAGAACTAATGCTAAACAAAAGCAGATTTGACTCCATAGTAGTGATTCAGCTGTGGTTCCCAATTCTGTGCTGAGAACTGGGCACAGGGAGATACAGAAGTAACACAAAAAGTTCTCAGAGCATTCTTTGGAAGGAGGAAAGAGATGCCTCAGAAAGGTAGCTGGAGCTTCCTAGCAGAAGCTAGATGTACAGACATCAAGATTATTTAATTTGGCCCTGTCCCTCTTAATGGCATTACCAGAGGACACTTCTCTGGGTCCACCTCGAGCTGTTGTTTTGCCTAGCTTTCCCTGTCTATTCTGGAACCATGTTCTTCAGATGAAAGGTCTGATGCAGGATGTAGAGGATTAGATAAATAAACCCAAGATTTTTAAAAATACAACAGCTGTATTCAGTACGCTTAAAAAGTTTTGTATAGAGCGCTACCAGAAAATAATTCCAAGATTCTCTTACTATATCATCTTCATAGCCGCCTGCCAGAACCAGGGAATAAGCACCGTCATTGCTCCTGCCATGTATGCCTGCTACATGAGGCCTGTGAACACCAGATTCGCTCACCTACAGGAGAATGATAGTTTAAATGGGCAGCTGCTCATAACAGACCATTAGAAGCTTCAAAAATTTAACTCAAAAATGAAGACATTCATGATGCAGAACCGATTTGCTAATATGGTCCGCAGGGATGGGGGTCAAGGGGGAGGAAGGGTGCACAGCAGGAATACATCTCTTGGCATAATGTCTATTTTTTTTTTAAAACAAATGCCTGCATCTGGCTCCTGCTATTCATCTCCACCTAGATATCATACATACCATTACACGTTAGAGTTAGGCTTTGAAAATAGTTTCTCACTAACAGAACACACGGAAACATACATAAAAGACCCAACAACGTTGCCCTAAAGTGTTTACATTGCCATTTATACTAGTGCAGAACAAGCATAAACACTATATAAAGGCAAAAAGGAGCATTGGCACAAATAAGAAAATATTAAAGTTGATCCCAACTTCAGGTTGAAGAAAGAGAAGCTGGAGAAATGCTCTTCAGAGCAATATGCCAAGAGAAAAGAATTAGATTTGTGCTTTAACCAGATTTCAAAAATGTGCTTTCTTTTGGATAATCACTCACTGGTTTGATGAGAAATCTAGTAGTTTAAAACAGATTACATTACAGATACTACAGTTATACACTTGAGATGGGGAGATGGTTTTTATCCCCACTATTTAGAAAGCTAATACCAAACAATTAAAAGGAAACATTCAGGTATAATTCAGTGCCCACTTCTCCCCATTTTGTAGCAGAATGCAAGTCTCTGTTTCACATACTTATGTCAGTAACAGGGAACCCCTGTCCTTTACTAAGCCAACTTGATTTAGGTGAAGAACCAAGGGTCAGGAAGCTAAGGAGGCAATTAGCTACACCTGGCCCTAGAGGAAAGTGGCAGAAGGGCCAATCACATGACCAGGAGGTGGCTGGGCTGGGGAATATAAACCCTGTCCCAGAGCAGGCAGGGGTAAGGCAGGGATAGGAGTTAAGATTTTCAAGCTGCAGAAAGCAAAGCTTCAGGGAGCAGACAGATGGACTACCAGAGGAGAAAGGACTCTAGGCTGCAGGGGAATGGGAAAGAAGCCCCAGCACCACTGGACAATGAAAGATAAGTGTTGTGAGCCAGTGTGGCAGTCCTACCATGGTGTGCTATTAAGTCTGGGTGGGGAGACTTTTCTTTGAAGCTGAAGCTCATGTCCTTTTTGTTCCAATACCAAAGGACCAGGTATGGCTGGAAGAAATGGATTGGAGACCACAGGGGTGCTGCAGGGGAACTTTGCATAGAGCCCTTCTCAAGCCAGGGACCTAACAGGCTGTGTGGGGGCAAAGCCCAAACACTTTAGAAGGAGGGCTGCTGTTTGTTTGGAGGACCGCAGTACCAGACAAAGACTGGAGGTGCAAACCTAGGGCCTGTGAGCCTAAGTAGGCCTCAGCCCAGAGAGGGGCCCATCTCCAAAAGCCCTCTTTTTGCCCTCTAGGGGCAGCCTCCTGGTCAAATTTTAACATCAAGTGTGGCAGAAAAAACAAAAGGGTGGGACCCCAAGGGACCAGAAGGGGCAACAAGGGTCAGGTCCAGGAATCATCCAGGACAGGTAACCTTGCTGCTCCAGCACTAAGCATGTTACAAGGCCCCTAAGGGAGACCTCTATAAAAGAACATTGACCTTTTTAAAAATTTTTAAAAAGTTTTTCTGCCTGTTCATATTCTTAAAAGCTTTCATATCTTTCTAAAGCATAATACTACATAAAAAGACACACGGAATCCCTCATTGTTAATATGTTATTATTCAAACTATAGAACACTTACTGTAGACAGGACAGTGATTTTTTTTTGGCCAGTTCATGTGCATTAGCACATATGCTGAACTGGCTGCAGTTGCCAGTGCATACTGCTCATGCAAGAGTTGCATTAAATTTATTTTCACCTCTGGAGGTTCATTCACTCCAAGCTACTGCTTCATACCTGAACTCTGAACTTCCACATGGTGCCCACTGGTACACCAGGAATTGGTCCATAGTGGTTAGAGGGGACAATGGTGCATTCCCTTGTGCGACCCACACATGCCATACCCTGTTTCAAACAGAAAGCCAGGTGAGCTAAATAGTACAAGCACCACAATACTCTACATTTCAAGGCAGAAAAGTTTCACACTCACCTTGCCCCAGTCTCTCCGTGAGGATGAATTAGCCGATGCCATTTTTGCCTTCTTTTTACTTTCTTTTAACTTCTCTCCTGCTAAAACCACTTCACTTGCATCATTGCGACATTCAGGACAATACCTACAGTTACCAATCAATGAAAATTAGCTTGCAAGAGCAATCTGTAGTTAAAAAGTTCTCTTCTTTAGAGTAAGCTGGCGGATTATAAAATAGCACATTTGAGAAATTTATTATTTGAAGTGAATAAAAACCACAGTATTTGGGATTTACAACTGCATACTAGTTAAAAGTTTTAAGACGGTGTGCTTGCATAATTTTCGGACCACCATAGACAGAACTGTTAAAAAACCCAACCATACTCCAGAATGTCAGAATGAAGCATGTAGAAAGGATGAAAAATGCTAGCCCACAACATGCTTTAACTGGTATGCTTCTCAAAAACCCAGTTTATACTGAGCAAAGGAAGCCGTATGAAAGAGGCTCTGTAATATACTATTAGCTAATATTTTATTAGCTGGCACCATTCTAACTATGGGTACTGCCTAGAAGGGGCTTTAGTCTTTACTAGTACAAAAGGTTTACTAGTTACCCTCCTGAAAAGAACTAAATTCTGTTCCCCACACACTGTCCCAAAGTCTACAAGTTGTTCTTGCAGTTACAGTAATCAGAGTGATAACAGAATTCATCAGATAAGTTACCTTTATGTAGTACTAAACTAGCACATAGACATCACCTCCATGACAACGCAGCATGCAGAGAAGGAAAACACACTCATTAAATGATTTTGCATGCCCATGCCAAGATGCCTTTAAGAGAATTAATTCTCTTGAGTGCCATAAGTTCTCTTAAACAGTCAAGTGAGGAACCCATCACCACTAGTTACTCTTGAAAATCTAGTCAAGGAGGAGACCGTCAGAAAGCTTTTAGGAGTTAGAGTAACATCAGAATGAATGCTCTATCCAACTGAACTGTATACTGCTTGCTAGTCAATCTCTCCTTGGCAAATCTGCACCTGTTCATGGAATCTCCATGCAAGTAATGGGTCTATTTAGAAGTAATCTGGCCAAATAAACCCCATGTTTATGGACATTCAGAAACAATTTCCTTTGTTTCTTTGAAAAATATTTTGAATTTATGCTCAAGAAAGCAGCCTAGCTTTCAGGAAAAGCCGCATCAGGTCACACAACAAGTGATCCAAAACTTAAGAGATCCATCCTAATTTAGAAAAGGTATAGCTTGATAAGACCAGTAGAGTTTTACTCACATTAAATTAAAAATCACAGAATTGCTTCTTGAGATTGTAGCCTCCATCAAAACGGAAGTTGTAGTTTTGCTTTTACACTTAGCTTCTTGTCCACATGAGTTAGATAAATGCCCCTACAGGTGTAGTTTTTAAAATCAATACTATAGGACACAGCCTTAAAGTATATATTTATGACTGATTTGTATTGATTTTTTGTTTAATTGGATGAGAAATTAGAGCCAAGTCAATAAAAAGGCAGGTTTGAACGGATTTTAAATCTTGCACTTGCGTTCAATAGCACTGATTTAAAACCCATGCCTGTAGGGACTCCCATTGCAGCTTTGTATATAGGCAAAGCTGTACACTCTTCTCATCATTTACAGCTTAACTCGTGTTACGAAACCATTTTCATGACTTACCAATCCTCTTCATCTGGTATGCTACTGAGGGGAGGGTTGAGGCAGTAGATGTGGAAAGCCATGTCACACTCATCACACATTAGCTGTTTGTCAGGATCCTGTTTGCCTCCACACACGTAACAGGCACACATTCTGCAGGTCTTGTTTGGGTTGTCTTTACAATATTTACACACCGGTCCACTCTGTCCTATAGACACAAGAACCATGATCTATTTCAGTGTCAGACCCCAGAAAGAGAGTAAATTACATTAAAAATTGGACAAAGTCTCAATTGCAAACATTTAAAAACCACTGTTACTCGATTACCCCAAAATAATTATGTGAATACCACCAAAAGCAAAAGGAGCAAGTATAAAACTTAAGGTCTCAGTAATTTACTCACTTTTTAATGGGCTGGCACTAACTGGACTAGCGCTTCCAGGTTCTTCTATCTTATAAATTTCATCCACAAAAGTAATTCTGCAGTCATTCAAGGAATCACCAGCATCCCTATGGAGAGAAATTTAAGTCAACAAAAATCAGTCTTTAGTTAGTTTTTCAAGCATAAGCATAGCTCATACTGCAGCAGACACACCCCCCCCCACAACTAACCTCTGAAGCATTCTTGATAACATTCAGAGTGACCAATTAATAGATTTGTAATAGCCAACATAGCAATTATATGACAAGAACCATGCTGGAATTAAATAACCTTCATGCAATGTGACAATTTTTTCCCATCAAAATGGGGAACCTGTGGATTCCAATAACTGCACTATAGTGACTGCTAATTCAGAAAGGACAGTTTGTTATAATTATAGCATAACAACAGTATTATAAAAGTAAAAAAGGTACTTTTTGCAAAGCCCAGAAGCATACTAACTTTTCATTAAAAAGAAAAATCTGCAATTTCAAATGGTTTCTTCAGAAATCCAAGTTACCCTTGGTCTGTGTCATTTTGTCAACAGAATTCTACTATATCACTTAGTATTTTACCAACTAAATCTCTATCTTTACTATACGACACAGCTTTACAACATGCTAGCAGATCTAGCATGTAATAAAGCCAACTGCTGATCTACACTGGGATTTTACTACGCATTAGGTAACATGGTAATAGGCATGCGTTTTCCTGACGGTTACAGTCTAAATCCAGACAGAAGATACAGTACTACAGGCTAGGCTAACACACTGCTTTTGCATTGCTGTACCAGTGGTACTGCCCTCTAAAACAAGTGTATGTAGACAATCTTCATCAAGGAGTTTCTCAGATTGTTAATGGAAAGAAAAAAGAACTTAGAAGCTCAATTACCATTTAAATGCCAACTATGGTTTCTTTCCTTAACATGACAATAAAAGTGCTTACTCTTAAAGAAAGAGATGGAATCTCTAACCAATGATGTACTTTAATGATATGTTAGATCTATTGTGTAAAACAAGAAACCTCACTGTTTAAAGTTGCCTACCCAGACACCAATGTCTGCCTATACCCAATTGTCATCTCTTCCAATTCCCTCCTTGAGGATCTGTCCTATACATCTACCATCATCTGCCCAGCAAACCCCTCTATAGTCCAGCTTCAAATCAAGTTTCTACTCTGAACCTCACTGCCCAGCTGCTGCTAGGTCTCTCTCCCCCGCCTCCCCAGCCCTTACACATACTCATTGTTGGGAGGAGAATGTGCAAGTTCCAACACTCCTAGCCCCTCTCCCCCATGTCCTGCCCTCTACACACCCACACACACTACTTTGTCATTCAGTACAGCAAAGACCCCAGTTACAGACAAAGAGAAACTTTGCAAAGTGTTTTACAAAACAAAGAACAGAGACAGCTTGTGCCCCAAATAAATTATCATTTCATAACTCTTTCTAAAGGTTTGCTTTCAAAATGAAGCCTCTCACAGAATGAAGAAAAGCAAAGCTCATCTTTACAGAATTTGGACCCATGATTCCAAAGTTTGTTAGTTACATCAAGATATATCCTCTAAGATTGCTAACCTTGATTATAATTGAATGAGTTATTGCCAAATGGGAACAAAAAAAAGCAAAACTTGCTCCATATCTCTGAAGAGCTTTAGCACCACATTCGTTTCCGTTTGGGTTAACAGACTGAGCCTCATCTCAGTCAAGAGTTTTTGAGCTTCTGAAAGAGTCTGTAACAAGGGTATTTTGTGGAAAAGACCAAAAAGGGGAGTAAGCTGCAAGGCTTTTTGGAGTCAGAACTGTTTAAAAGCTTTACGCCATCATGGACTTGGGGCTGATCTAAACAAGTTTTAAGTCAGTAAAGATAATAAATACACATTTACCTATACCACAGATGCCCAGTCCAGGCACTGCTCCTGCTACATCGCATGGCAGGGAGGGTGATGCAGAACAATGTGTGGCCTGCACATGGCCAAGGGGATATGTGGCCACCAACCATCCACAAGTTGGACAGCTCTGACTTAGACCCATGTCTTTCTACTCATAGCTGTAGTTTCATAATTTGGCTCAAGTATTTAGACACACACATTTAAAAATTGACGCCAGCAGTCTTTCCTGCTTAGACCAGGGAGGCTGGACCTGATGATCTCACGAGGTCCCTTCCAGCCCTAAACTTCTGTGAAACTGAATAATAGCATATTTCTACACTAAAATAAAATAGCGTGATGTGTCTACAAGATCCTTCAAGGGGAAGTAGTACAGCTACTCCTCACTTAACGTCGTAGTTATGTTCTGGAAAAATGTGACTAAGCAAAACTACGTTAAGCAAATCCAATTACGTCACAGTAGTTACCTACTAGCAGGCAGCAGCCAAACGTTATAACCGAACATTACAAAACTTTAAACTGGCATGTTCTCCAATATATCAGCGACATAATAACAAAACAACGTTAACCGGGACGACGTTGAGGAGTACCTGTACTTGTATTTGGACGAGTTATAAGCAAAACTAAATGCACACCTCCTATGCATAGCACATGGTTTCTTAATTTTTTTTTTGTCTTTTACAAAAGGCACAGACTTGTATCATCCAAACACCTGTGTATACAGTCACACTCGAGGAGTTGTTGAAAGAAAAGCTTAAAGCAAGGGAAAAAAATAAAATACACTTGTCTACTATGCATTGTCCAAGCAAAGCAGAAAAAAAAATGTAATACAAATGAAGTTGATCTTTTAGATACCATTTCATTTTTAGCAGTCAAAAGAAAAATAAAAAGAAACTCTCTTATCCTACTACTAAAGTTACTTGAAACGCACCCTTTTAACCAAAGTCTAACCGGGGGGGGGGGGGGGGGGGGGGTGATAACTGCAAACAGATTATGAAACATTTAGTTTTTGTGATTTTACCCCACATTTCCATTGACTTAGGTTTAGAATCACTTACCCAAGTAGTATCTTTGCATATATCTCCTTGCTCATTTTGGTTTCCCGTTTTCGCAGTATCTCTGCATCATACCAAAAACCTCTCTCTTTTGGTTCATCAGGATTATAGTTCACCATCACCACCTGCCCAACTTCTACTTGGTGCCACTTCAAAATTGTCCGTGCTCGTGCACGTACATCTTTTGAACTCAGTTGTACAACTCCATTCTCTGGGTAGCTTTTTTTGGAAAAAGTGTAAATAATTAGTGCTACATTGCGACAACATCAGTTATTACATTGAATCATCACTTCTTTTTAAAAAGTTTACACACTTTAAAGAGTTTATGCCAGCATAATATTTGTTACCAAAAACGAAACCTCCTTCCCCACCCCCTCAAGTATATCTGCTGTCAAAAAGGGCATGCCAAACAATGTCACATCCCATTTTATACTTTGACCATTTATTTAGTCTTGTAAGACTAGAACAGTCTTTTCAATACACAGTCTAGTAATCAAGTTACTGTGACAGTAAAGGAGTGTTAAATTATTATTATGGATCCATGTTGCCAAACTCTCTATCAGGGACCTTGTGCAGATATTGTTTCTCCTGGGAGAGTCACTGCTCTCACAGGAGAAGTCGTGAGTGTACAGATGTTTAGGCTTTTTCTCCCAGAGTAAAAATGACTGCTCCAGAAGAATAACCTGGGGAAAATCACCAGGGTTAAATCATTCCCTGGAGAGTTTCTCCTGAGACAGTGAATGTCTATACATGCTGTGGCATCTCAGAAGAGAACACAGTCCACCAGCATTTTCCTCCACTCCCCTCCCCACCCTGGGAGACAGCATATCACTCACTGGACTCTACTGTTTCAACAGGAGCACAGCATGCCCCTTTCACATTCTCCACATTGTGCTGCAAGGAAACAGGCTGACCATGGGCCCTTTGCACTGCTGTCACTTGTCTCCAGGCAGACTAAGGGAGCCTGCAAAACAGACTGAGACATGTGCACATGCCACTGCTACCACGCCCCTCCCTTCTCCCTACCCCCATCTGCACACAGTGTCAGTACTGCAAACTCTCCACTCTTCAGGGCCTCAGCATTCAAATTTCTGTACACACAGCTCTGGGTATGTTTCTCTACCAGCAGAACCAACTTGGGAGAATTCTCTCAGGTTATTTGAATGTCAACATCAACTACTTTCAATAATTGTCATTAGGCAAGAAGTAGCAACTCACTCTTCGTATTTCACGTGATATATAATATCTTCTTCAGGAACTGATGATTGCAGTTTAGACTCTGTATAACTGTCATTCGATTCTTCTGAGGTCTTCTTTTTCCTAGTCACATTTACAATTTGGGCTTCAAACCATGCTCCCATGTTCATATCTCGACCATCTACTAAGTCGTTCACCTTAATAAAGTAAGAAAAACTTCCCAAAATGAATTTTCAAATTAAACTTGAACATTCAGATTAGTTTTTAGTTTAAGCTCTTTCAACAAGGTCCAGTTTTAAAAAGTAACTAGATTAAAAAACACACAAAAACCACAATTTACACACTCTCCTCCTGGTCATACAGGGCAACCTAAAAACTCTCTAGATCAGTTGCTCAAGGAGGGTGCCGTGGCACGCAGGGGTGCTGCCAGATCCTTTGAAAGTTACCCCAAGGTGGGAGGTGAACAGATAAGGACAGGCTCAAGCTGGTCCCTGCCTGGCCAATCCCCCACCCCTGCCTCTACTGTGCAGTCTCTCTGCAAGATGGTAAGCACTGTGATGTATAAATTCATTTTTTAAATTGGGTGGCACCCAAGTCACAAGGGTGCCTCAAGTCCAAAGGTGGAGAGCCACTGATCTACATTGTAGGATTATAAGCTCTGAGAGGTAGAAAAAATGTCTATCATTTATTTTTCCCTTAAATACTGGGCAGAGTTTTGGCATTTTATAGCTACTGTTAGCAAACAACAATTAAGGACAGAGTTTCAAAGCTGTCAGGAAAAAAAATACCAGACCAAAAAAATTCCACTATAACATCGTCATTAACAAGCAACTGTTTACAGTGTCAAGGCAGTCGGGAAAGAATGTTGGTTTTGACAAATTTAACTCTAAAAAAATATTTTAAAGTTTCAAAATTATTTAGGAGTCCCATTTCAACATGTTCAGAACAAATTTCACTTAAGCAGTTCGCATAAGTATTTAGAGATTTTTATTTTTTGCCCCAATTCCAAAGAGGGCAAGTTTTCCAAAAAAAAGAGTCTAAAAATTCTCAAGGGATAAGAAAACCAGTTTCTGCTCTCAGGCCTAATTCTAACCAATCAGAGTTTTTTTGCAAGGCTGGCTTTATTGTTCTGGTCTATACAATGTACTGGATGGACTACACTTACCTTATAGAGGCCAAATACTGCATCAGCCCAGTCAGCTTGTGCTGCTGTACTGGGTTGTCCCTCAAGCTCCACTGCTCCTTCTCCATTGTTGGAATTCTTATCAGACTCACTTTGGCCTGATCCACAGCCAGAGTCTGTATCTGAGAGTTCGGAGTCTTTTTCTTTATTAACAGCTGGTAGCATAGCAGGGCTTTGTCTTACTAGTAGTTGAACAATATCATTCAGTCCAACACTGTAGTCAAACAGGGAGTGACCATCTTCCATCTACAAGGAAATTTAAAAAAAGTAACTATGCAGCTTGTGAACGTAAAATTAGCATTTTAATGCCAACTCAAATCTAGATTTTGGTTATACAGATGTACATATATGCCAAGAGAATGCACCACAGTTCTAATAAGAATGAAGTAATTTGTAGAATTTGCAACATTTATGGATATTTAGCAGGATCCATATACTAAAACACCAGAAGATCTGTATTGCAGCAGAATGGCTACACCACTCGTGCCACCCTATTTTATGAAACAGCAGAAGAATGGCTACCAGACTTTACGTGGACTTACCGAGTATGGAACAAGTACACAACTTTCATTAAAAAAAAAACACCACTTACCCCAGCTTTCCCTGCAAAGATTTCTCACCATATTCTGTTAAAACTGCATAACAAAAAAAACATCTCAACTCTATAACTGATATTTTAAAAAAAGGACTCCTCATTACAAGCCAGGTCTAACTGAATCACTTTGTACATGGATCCAGGCATTGACCATTAGTAACACTGGAACAAATCTGGTTTTATACAACACAACACATTATGCTAGATATAACAAGGTACAGTATAAAAATAAAATATTGTATGTATCCTGTGTCCTTCACATTTTATTTTTTTTTAAATGGAGAGAAAAAAAGTAGACAAGTTATTCACTACTCTTCTCCAAGCCAAGTAAAGAATTTCTTGACAATAAAAAGATCAGAATGGATTCTTCACAACTTAAAGACACTCAGCTATTTGAGAATTACTCAACAAGTCCTAGTTTTACCTTGAATTAAAGTACTTTTAAAACTTTTTGGAACAGAACTATGGCAAAATGGCAGAATTCCAGCTTGTCCAAATAATAATACAAGTACAGATATCCAGATTGACCTCTTATAACCACCCTTCAAGAACTTCAAAAGTAAGGAGTAGTACATTAAACCTGGCAGTAAAATACTTGAAGCTTCAGCAAGTTTAGAAGTTCAGACAAGCTTTGCCACATATTTAAGGTCTAAGCAACAGAAATAATACAGGAAGTCACCATCCCACCCAGCCAAAGCCACCAAAAAATTTATCTTCAGAGCTTTATTCTCTGTCCATGGAAAATTAAAGTTAACCACAAATGTCTACACTTCACAAGAATTAAGCTAATTCAGTTTGGATTTACGACATCAAATGCTAAAGAACTACCAGTGGAAATCTGACAGGAGAAATAAGGTCAAGTCATTTCCTGCTTGGATATGAAGAGTCATTCAACTCAAATTCATAAGAATCAACTGAAAGGTTTGATTTAGCACCAGTGCATGATACTACCAAAGTTGCTAGATAGGAGCTGACTAACAGGATTAGAAGAACAGGGACCATCATAAAGAACAGCCAAAAGCAGAGCAGTAGGGAATGCAAAGAACCAACAACTGAAGCAGTTTCTAGAGACTTAAGCATCATACAACCTGCCCAAAAGTAGCAATATCAATTGCAGATATAAGTATGAGAGTATTTATTATTGGGAATGATCCCCCCCACAGTACAAATTTTGCACTGAGAATCAACAACATTACAAACCTGAAGGACTCAGACAAAGCATTAACTTATGGAAATCTCATCCCTAAACACCCACACCCTCTCTGGACCAGAATTAACCTTGCTCTCTGAAGTATTGCTGTGCTGTAGTCTCTTTTTTATACCAGAGCACATTCCATTTGATTTACAACAATCCTGGACTAGTATTGCCCTTCAAGCATGCTTTTTTTTTTTTTTTGGTAAGAAAGAAAAAGTTATTTTATTTGTATTTCGTCTCTTCAATTTCAGGGTGCTAGAATTTATTCGAGATGCATTCCTGTGCTCACCACAGCCACAATAACATACAACATAAGGCTTCAAGATGTTTTCTGAAACAGATCTCCTAGTCTCTTCGTAGCATACAGTAAAAATGCCACTCATCCAAGCATCGCCAATATAACTAACTGTGGTGATGAAGACAACAGTTATTTTACCATTCCCAAAACCCTCCCAGAAATATCTGGGACATTGTTTTAAGAGTTATATTTTTTAAATAAAGATCATCTTGGGGAACTTCATCTTTGAAAATATTCTTGTCCTCCACTGCTGCTAAGCCTTTCCAGTTAACAGGCAGGTAATTACCTGTGTGTATGGAAACTCTGGACTGTTTATTAACATGTAGCTCTGCAGGAAGATAAATACTCATTACATTCAGTAATGGAGCATGCAGAAACAAACGCAAGAGGATAGACGAGGGAGAAAACAGCAAGCCTCCCTCACCCCCACTCCTCTCATCTAGAAGTGATGACAACCAAGAACCAGACTTTCCCAAAACCTCCCTAATGCTATAAAATTGACTACATTTACTCATTGGGCAATGTATTAAACCTAGATGGGGTCTGGCTATTTGCGCACAAGGCCCCAGTCCAAGAACTATTTCATCAAGCTTGTTTTCCAACAGGATTGAGTTAAATTATTGGGGCTACCCTGGATAACCATCAGGAAAGTGCAGCTGGTACTGAAGGCAGCAGACTGCCTTACAGGAATGGGCCATCAGGAACACATAACTCAGTGCTCTACTCAAAAATGGGCATGATTCAAGGTGCTGGGCTCCATGTACTTAAGGCTTCTGCTCTATGTACCTAAGGGACTGTCTTCCCCTTATGCCCTGTGACAGGCCCCATGTCAGCCAAGAGCAACTTCCCACAAGTATCATCAATGAGTCCGGTTTGCTTGGCAGAGACACTTGGGAGGCTGTTCCGTAACTGCCCCTGACCTCTGGAACTTCCTCCTTGTTGAAGGCCACCAAAGCCCAAACCTGGACAACTTCAAGGAGCTCTGCAAGACTCCGCAGCTAAATATATCAACGGGCATTTAACAAGCAAAGCTAAGAAAGGACCCTGTTTGAAAGGGAATGCTCCATAGTTTAATATACTAAGAGCTTTTAAGTTATTTTGTTTTGTTTTTCCTATTTTGCTCTCTCCTTCGCTCATTTTAGAAGGTATTCTGCTCTTGTCTGTAGGCTGCCCTGAGTCTTATTATAAATAAACCAAGCAATTTTCCCTGCAGTGATCTGACCCCACACATCATTAAACCAAAAAGAATTCTCTTTTTAAACAGTTTCTCCTGAACAGTATTTCACAAGAGAATACTGTACAATACCTTCCTCAGTAATCTGCATTGCTGTTTTTCTCCAAAGCAGGGTTGGATTTCAGCAAGAGAAGAACAAATAGCTGCTTGAGGTATGCATCCCTGAAACCACACTTTTATACTTTTTGGAAAGTGCAACTACTACTCATGTAGGCAAGCCCAAAAGCTAGCTGGGGTATGCCTGCAGGTGCAGCCATAATACTGCTTGGTCACAGCAGAGACATACTCTTAATCTCCCTACTGTAGCAAAAGCACTAGAAAGAACCTAATGGACCAATCCCACCTCATATCCAGTAGTTTGTTTCTAAGCAAAAGTTGCCCTGAATTTATAAAACAAGTCCCAAAGTAATATGGAACTGTCCTGAGCATAGTTTAAAAAATTAAAAACACTTAAAAGGCCCTTCTCACATTATTTAAAGACTGAATGACAAGCAAGTTTGTGGCAAACACCTTCCGAAATATTCCTCATCCCTTAAATGCCTTCTAAAGGAGAACGTATTACAGGCCAAGAATGCAGACAACCTTACAGTCTATGCATACTCTCATTTCAGCTTTATGTATACGATTTTAGTAAAGCAAAAAAATAGCCTCTTAATTCTCCTAACAAGACCCCAATAACTCAGTACTGGACTTAAAGCAGGGCCACCTGGCACCTTCCATGGCCGTCCAACATCTTATCAGAGGAAAGGAGACGTGACAGTCAGTCAGTCAGTCAGTCAGTCAATGGTGCTTGGCAGTGGTGTGGGAGAAGAGCCTAATGTGTGAGCTGCAAACCTTCCCACAATGACTACATGTCCACTCATCAGATGGAGGTTGAAGCACACATGGTTTCCTGGCCCACCTGCAGGCCTCAGCCTGGGCTCTCTGCGGTGACTACACCAGCTTTGATCTGGCTTCTCCAAACACAAGGACAAGTGCAAAGTCTTGCATTTAGGATGGAACAATCCCATGCACCAGTACAGGCTGGAGGCTGAATGGCTGGACAGCAGCTATGCAGAAAAGGACCTGGGGGGGACAGTGGACAATAAGCTGAATATGAGCCAGCAGTGTGCCCTTGTTGCCAAGGCTAACCGGGCTGCATTGGTAGGTGTGTTGCAAGCAGGTCAAGGGAAGTGATTATTCCCCTCTATTCAGCACTGGTGAGGCCACATCTGGGTACTGTGCTCAGTTTTGGGTCCCCCACTACAGAAAGGATGTGGAAAGATTGGAGTGAGCCCAGCAGAGGGCAACAAAAATGGTTCAGGAGTTAGGGGACATGACTTATGGAGGAAAGACTGAGGGAACTGAGTTTATTTAATCTAGAGAAGAGGAGACTTAGCAGCAGTCTTCAGCTACTTGAAGTGGGGGTGGAAAGAGCAGAGATGGGCTACTCTCACTGGTGGCAGATGACAGAACAAGGAGCAACAGTCTCAAGTTGCAGCAAGGGAAATTTATGTTAGATATTAGGAAGGACTCTCTCACTAGGAGGGTGGTGAAGCACTGGAACAGGTTACCCAGAGAAGTGGTGGAGGTTTTCAAAATCCAGCTAGACAAAGCCTTGGCTGGGACAATCTAGTTGGAGCTGGTCCTGCTTTGAGCAGGGGGTTGGACTAGATGAGACCTCCTGAGGTCCCTTCCAACCCCCATTTTCTACGATTCTAACTGAGCGGTTGTGGGCAAGGTTCTCCCAGTTGTCAGTAGGAATGCTGAATTTCTTGACAGCTTGCCACTGTATTGGAGCTTTGGCCTTCCTCTGCATTGCAGGGGATTCTTGGGTTGACCACAGCTTTCAGCAGCGCTCCACATGTCCCAGCCAGCAAAGCCTGCAAGCATCCAGCGTAGTCTGCATAAAACTATAAGCCAGTCCTCTCAAGGATCTTGTTGTCAGTGATCCGTTGGTCCCAAGTGATTCCAAGGATTTTTCTGAGACAGCAAAGGTAGAAACTGTTCAATCTCTGCTCCTCCTTGGAGTACACGACCCAGCTTTCACAGTCATAAAGGATGGTACTGAGGACAAGCCTGACAGACAGGCATCTGTGTGTTCAGGGTTAGCAGCTTGTTGTTCCAGACACGCAAGGCAAGTTTGCTAAAGATGACAGAAGCTTTATCAAGTGCACCATCTGATCAGAGCTGGTAAGTTTTGAGCCAAAATAGCAGAAGTCATCTACATTGTCCAGAGCTTCATTAACATAGATTTAGGGTGAGATGTTGGTGCCCTGTGACATGACAACTGTTTTCTGGATATACTACTTGCCATGCCAAACTTGATGCATGCATCAGAGAAGATGTTCGTCATGATCTGCAATTCAACAGGTGAGTTAGAGATGAACACAGCATCATCTGCAAAGAACAGATCTTAAATAGTGAACTAGGTGACATGCTTTTTGCACAGAAATAGCCTGATGTTGAGTAAGCTGCCGTCCATCGTTGATTCAATTAATATGCCAGATTGACTGTTTCCAATTTTCAGACTGGACGATTGCCTTCATTTTCTCATGGAACTCCTCGAATACACAGTGCACCTTTTCTGGACAGCCAATTTTCAACAGGATCTTGTAGATGCCATTCCTGCCTTTTGTAGGTCGATGAATACTACAGAGTTTGTTCCAGGCTTTTTTCTTGCAAAAAACACATGCCAGAAGTGACACAGGCTGTCTGGGTCTGCAGCATACAGCAGATCAGAGAAGAGGAAGGCACCAAAGTGACAGCTTGGACAGGGAGCAGAACAGTAGACTGGGCAGGGGAAGAGGATTGAGAAGCACTCTAGGAGCACGTGGGGCTTAATTTGTAGCATGCCTGCCAAGCAGGCTGGCCTCCACTGACTTAGACCATTCTCCTGTATATATTCTGAGAATTTAAGAACCAGCATTACGGGAAATAGAGACTGTAGCAGAAAAGGCAAAAGCCTGTATTCAATAGCCTGGAGTTCCTTCAATTTCCCTGTGAGGGAAGCTATGCCTTTTGCAACTTCTTTATCGATTCTTACAATCAAACACAAGCCACCAAAACCAACATAATCCCTGGATACATAATTCACAAAAAATGCATGCAGCAAATTTGCAATTAAACTAAATGGTATTTCTTCTATGTTCTTCAATCTCTAAGAACTTATCCAAACTGAAATCAGTAAAAAAGCTTTACTGCACAGCTTAACAATGCAATGCCTAAGATATGAACAATGTGTTTTCAAGCCAATTTTTAATACAAATTCAGTTATGAAGTTATAACCTGTGGAAGGAAGTCTTGTCACACATTTGTAATATCCTGCAGTGTCAGGAATATATTATTACTGAGTCAGTTAAGATTTTACACACTCTGCAAGTTAAGTTCAGTACAAAGCCAAATTTTGACTTAATAGCAGCTCCCCACGATTTTAAAGTAGCTCTACTATCTCAAGTTTTATGGAGATGGACTGCTTCCTGCAAATCAAGATCTTTACAACCCTTCAAAGCTGTAAAACTTCCACGGCTTGAAAAACTTTTATTACTAAGCTTAACAGTCCGTTAGATCACACACACCCTAGTAAAACCCAAATTTTCAGAGATACCATGTGGTTTTGCAAACACAGAAACTTCCTTTTTAGTTGGTCTACATTTTTGGTGTGTTTGTTTTAAATAAAAGCAAATCTCCCTTACTGTGAACAAAGACCCAAAATGCTATATCAGTATAAAAACAAGTGCTGATATTTAGGCAGACAATTCTAAAAGTTAAAAAAAAAAAATTAGCTGACAAAACATCTATCTTGCAGTGGTGATCTTGCCACTCTTCCAGCTCTCTCTCTATACCACTGCCATTTTTACTACTACACAGAGGACTGGTTAACTGAAATTCTCCAATATTAAATCAAAACTCAAAAAAGCACCAAAGGCAATGTATGTGCCTGCCTGCAGACTCAGGGAGATCAACTCTCAGCTAAAAATCAAACTATGATTTTAATCCTTGCAGTTGTGAAGATCTTTTAAACAAATTTTAAAAGACAGATGGTTGTATTGGTGCCCCCCCCCCATGCTTGCTAGGCCAACTTCAGACTCACTATTAGTGAACAAACTTTCCGGTTAATGGTATATGGCAGTGGGGGGGGCCCAACTTTCTGAGCAGGCATGTCACAAATTAGCCCTACATCCTCCTGAAGGCCACTCCAAACCCCTTCCCCTGCCCAGTCTCCATGCTGCGTGCCCCCTCCCCACTCTGCTATGCGCCAAACACAGAGGCTGTCCATGCCACTCACAGTACACGTGGCGCAGGTTGTCCAGCCTTGATATAGGGCTTGCTTGAAGGCAAACCAGACAAACATACAATTATGGGGTTTGTACTTATGCCAAATCACTAAGCCCCCACCAAAATGCATTTCATCATCATAAGTTTACTTCAGATTGAAACTATTGACAAATTTTGTTTAAACCATTTTCCTTATAATTTACCAGTTTCTCTCTTGTAATTGTATTCAAAACATACCGCACAAGTCATTGTATCCCCTCACAGAAACCCGCCCACTTGTGGAACGAAACATAGTAGCCATATCCCAGAACACAGAAACAGTAAATGATTTAGGATGTGACGTATATACCACAACCAAGTGAAACTACAGCTGAAAGGGGCGCTTGGGGCAGACAGAGGGTGTGCCTGTGCATTCATTAATGCGCTGTAGGTGGCGAGGCTGCACATTAGCACAGATGAACACTTTTTGTATGATGTTTAATGTGCATTGGACTACATCTACTGCACATATCACCGTGCTAATGTGCAATGAATTAGTCCAGCATGCATTAAGCACCTTGTGCAGACACACCCAAAAAGTAGTTAAGCCCCCCAAATATAACTAGACAAGTAGAAGAGAACTTGCAAAACTCTTCCTCCCCTCTTGAATTATTGCTTTAACAACTGAATATATTCCTCATTGTCTTGAGTGGCCAAGCAACTAATGAAACGCAACTACTTACTTACGCTTATTAAATATACAATACCTGACCTATACAATCAAAACAACACAGAACCATCATGATTATCTACTTAAAAACTGGCTGAAAATTAAGTTTAGGAGCACACCAAAGCAGTGACAGAGCAAGAGCCTCTTGTCTTACCAGGCAGAGCAGACTACAGCTACACCTCATGACTGAGACGGCTGCAGTGACTATGAATTTGAACTAATATTGAAACAAAACAAGTACAGCTTGCATCAGCGATGGACAAAACAGGGATATTCACAAAGAAACGCACACTTAAGTTCCCTAGCAAATATAACTAGACGCCAACCCACGTGGCACGTCCCGAGCGCAAAGTACTGTTTAGGAAAATAAATAAATAAAATCGCTAGATGGCAGCATAATCCAGAGTTTCAAAACCAAACTGACTCCGGTTGACAAGGCAGCTGGAATCACTGTACTGCACTCAGTTAAAAACCCTGGAACTAGGGCCGGTAACTTTACATTCACCCCATCATCTTTTTTAAAAAGGGGTGAGAAAGGCTTTGCTGTCAGTGCCCAGTGCCGCATGCTTTGATTTCCAAAAACCGGAGGGCAAGAAACAAAAAAAGTCTGCCCCCTGCACCAGGCCATCACCAGCTCGAGCCATGCAGAAGAAAGAAAAAAAGCGCCCGGCGGGGGGACCGCTGCCACTGGACGAGGCCCTGCCACGCTTCACGACGCGGGTCGTGCGGCCCTGCCAGGCAGGGGTGCACGACCAGGCCCAGTTGGGGGCAGAGCCCCCCCCCCAGGGAAAGCCAGTACCTGCTTGCCGCGGTAGAAGAGCCGTTGGCGGTCGGGCTCCACACCGAACACCTCGTGTATCCGCAGCCGCAGCTCCTCCACCTTGGTGAGCTTCGACAGCGAGTCCACGCGGCGGGTCTCCTTCCCGTCCATGGTGCGTACCTGGATCCACATGGCGGCGGCTCTGCCAGAAGGGGGGTGGGGGTCACTGACCAGGCTGCCAGGTGAAGTGAGGCGAGGCCCACCCGCCCACCGCCCC